CATCAGCCTTGGTTCCACTAGTGAGGCAAACACTTTGAAAGCACCAAGAGGGTAAACAAGAAACTGCAATATGGATGTGTAAGGAATATTGTAACAAGCCTTCCTGTACACTAAAGACTAAAGTACATGTCATGTAAGAAGACAAATATGCATGATGTGTAAAAATTTACGTGGAACAGAGAAAATCTTGCAGGAAGTTGCTAACCCAAGGACCTTCAGTGGTTCCATATTTCACAAAGCTTACTAGTGTGATTACTGAATGAAACTGAGAGCGTGAGTCTGGATAGGCATCAGGTAGATGCTAATCTCCTGTGCACTAAGAAACCAGATCAGCTGTCTCTGAGAACAGAAAGCCATACTGGATGGAAAAAAAGAAAAGCATATGACTTTTGGAGGGTGTTACTCTCGGTGTTAATAGACAAATTTAGCTTCATTTTTCCTGCTGTTGCCTGAAAGTGATAGAGAATAGTTTAAAAAACACACTACATAATTGCAAGACATGCCAAGTAATTCACTTCTTTTTCAGAGTAAGCAGTACCTCAGCTTTCACTGAGGTCTAAATAGATGTAGAATCTACAGGTTCCTTAAACTCTGGCAGCCATTCACACCATAGAAAAATATGAGCTAAAACTCACACATAATTGGATTGAATAAAAGGATAGTCCATGTGATGACATTTTGCTAACTGTTATTCAAACCATCCCTATCTGAATCTGTGGCAATATTTCTACTTGGCCTTTTGCAGGATGGCCTCTACTGTTGAGATAGGCAAACTCAACATGAAGTGTAAACAAGTACAGTGGAAAGGAAAAAAAGAATCCAAAAAGCACAATACCATTTTCTAAGTGTTATACCTTAATCCTAAATGCTTTTGCAGCTTTGATTGCACAAAGGAATACATTCTGAGAATAGACTGGCATTTCAATTGACACTAATAGGAATAAACTTGTTTTGAACTATTAAAACTAGACTGTGATTTTCAGCTGAGTTGACAGCTTAGTTCTCATAAAACTGGTTCACAAGCAGATAGATTGAGATTACTTTCTTCCATGGAATTAGGGTGCAGAAATTATTTCTGAACATTCACATTTTTGTATAAACTGTGTGCAATATAATATATGAATTTGTAACAGCAAAGTTTATTTTTACCATATTGGGAAGAAGAATTTTTATATTACACTGGTTTTTATTTGAACTTCTGGCCTTTCATCTTCTGTACAAGATACCAAAAAGTTTCAAAACTAGATTTCAATTAAAAGCAAAAACAAAACAACTAAAATCTCCTTTTGTTCAGATGTGTGCAATTAATAAGAGTATTCAGATGTGTGCCATTAATAGGAATAATTGTTCATATTCCCTATGTCTTCTTAAATATTTCCTGCGTGTTCTTTCTTGGAGTTGTATGAAATTTCTACTGCCCCATTAACAAAGAACTCTTAGATACAGTTCTGTTATGAAATAATTGTTATTGAACATGACTGCTGTTTATTTGTGATTGATGTGCTCAATTGAGTTTTTGACCTTTTTGTATCATTGTACATGAAAATCTGATATGCTGAAAATGTCAAATTGCTTAGGAGACAAATGGAAACTATTAGTTAATATTCAATTTTAGTGATTTTTTTTTTTTTTTAAATTCAGGAGATCAAAATACTAACAAAAAACAACAAACCAACAAGAAGACTTCAATCCATCTGTTTTATAGAGGTTTTGTTCACAATCATCAATTTGATCATCCATGGACAAAGTTAGGAAGAAGAAAATCCCGGTCAAGTCTCAGGGACCTGAGAGTTGTCTTCAGTACGTACAATCCAACTTTCCCAGTGCAAATATACATTCATTTACAAAATCTGCAGGTGCTTTAAAATCAATTATATCTTCCTTTTGCCAGCCAAGCTTAGCACTTAAACAATAATCTGCTCATAACAAGACTGAGTCAAAACCAGCTGTGTCTCTGAATTCAAAATACCATATACTTCTTTAAAAGACTGCTGCTAAAAAAAAATATTTCCATGGGATCACAAGCTTATGCAAATGCAATCATGCAAACCTTCTCTTGCTATTTTCTCTTTGTCTTATAGGACTCCATTCTTGTTCCAGGATTTACATGTACTTTACTGTTAAGTATGCAATTGCGTACATAATACTGCATAACAACTTAAGAAAAAATAATAGAAAATAAAAATATTATAATCCAATGTTGACTTAGCTTATTAAGATAATATCATAGTCAAATGGGAGAGAAGAAATTTGAATCAGCTGTTTCAATACCCTCCAACTTCGTTTTCATTAAAGCAACATACTGCGTGTTTCACAAAATACATTCTTCCTATTATTTCTATGGATGTTGTCTATTTCTTTTTAATAATTCCACCTTTAAATGATTCTTAGAAAGTGATAAAACAGCAAAACAATAACCTCTTTAAAGTATTGCTTCAAATATGAAATACTAGTTACGCTTAGCTGTTTTTTAAGTTAATTAAAAAAGGCAAATAAAAGAAGTTCTGTTGATTCCAGAATTGCTAAAAGTTGCCTGTGACATGAATCTGTTCCATAGACCTAGTTTTAATTCAGCAACATTCTTAGTATGCATAATTCCCATTGACATCAGTGTGACAAAGAAAGGTGCTGCCCACCCCTCCTGCCCCCAACAAAGGATCTGGATTTGGGGAACTTGGTGGCCCTGAATGTGGCAGGGGTTTGGAGATTCATGATCCTTGAGGTCCCTTTCAACCCGGGCCATTCTGTGATTCTCTGATCTCAATAATCTTCAGATGAAGTATACATTTAATTTTAAACATTATCTGAATGCAAGTAAATCCATCATTTTCCATTCTGTCCAGAAAACCAGAAAACAAATGCCCAAACCTTGTTCTGAGAAGGATGAATCCAAGAGTAAATATATTTATTTTGAGACAGAACACACAGATACGATTAGTGCTTTTTCCATGTAACCCATGTTTTAGACAGGCTATCTAATTTGGGGACAGTGGGCATCTTCCTGCTCTCCTTGGTTAGATTTTTAGTTAAGAACAGGAAAAAAAAAAAAAAATAATTGCTACCAACTAACAGTAGTAATTCACAACCCTTGCACATAAGTTTAAACAATTTGCAGTTGTTACAGTTCAGATAGGAAATTTTCTGGAAAAAAATATTACTGGACTTAAATCTACTCATGTTATGATGTCTTTTTTGCAGAAATTTCATTTGCCCTTATCTTCAGCAAATAGAAACTTAAGGCCTCAAGGACATTTGAAAATATTAGTTAAGTATAAGTGACAAAGACTTTTTACAGCTTCTATGCTTGAAAATCTCGGCCTTGATGCAGTCATCATTTCCATATCTTTTTTCCCTTCTAATTAGAAAGGGAACATAGAAGTCCATGAAGTTAACCAAGTATTATGCTGGGTACACCACTCCCCAGGCACAGCTTAAGTGAGCCCGGCATCGCAGGCTGCCTACGGCTGAGAGGGCTGCGGGGACCGAGAAGGGAGCAGCCTGCACCTGTCTGGGCTTCCGGCTCATCAGAAAGCGGCTGAGTCATCGAGAAGGAAAGGAGCACACAAGAGCTGCGACAGAAGAAGCAACCCCTTCCAAGGAGCTGCCCTTACTCCTTTGTACTTTCTGATCTCGTTTTTCCTTCCTCCGTATCACAGAACAGGAGCAGAAAGACACTCGTGGAGGGCCGGGTTGGCCTCCTGCTCCCGCTGCTGCTTCTTCCTCACCCTACGGTCCCCTCCGCAGGCGGCAGGGCAGGGTAGGCACCTGCTGCAGGTCGCAGAGCAGCCCCTGCTTAGCGGGGAGCCGCTGAGCGAAAGGTGGCAGCAGCGAGTTGTTCTCAAACCTGGCGGTGGCGGTCTTTCTCACCGAATCGGCTCAGTCCGGTGACGGACACCTCTCCCAAATTCCCTGCTAGTCAAACACCCGTTAGCACTAAGTCCACCGCGGTGCCCCGGGGGCGGAGCAGCCCGCCTCGGCCCCCGCCCGAGCTCAGCCGCGCGGCTCCAGCCCGGAGCGCAGGTGGTACCCGCGCGGCGCGCGATGCCCCGACCGCCCCCGGCACGCGGGTTGAGCAGCGTCCGCCTGAGGACATCGGAACCCGCTGTTCAACTCGGGAGCAGCGCCGCAACGGTGCTTAAACGGAGCGGTGGAATGGGAACTTTCGGGCGCGCGCTGTCACTGCGTCGCACGCAAGTTTCTCGGTAAAGGGTTAAGCGCATACATAAGTAAATACGACTTCCATATTCCTCGCGCTCTTCGCTCGCGAAAAGACTTCTGCAAACACGGTAGGTTTCCCACCAAGGATGCAGAGAGAAAGATGCGGGATAACGAGCGCGGGCGTCACCCAGATCACATCTCTTCGCTGCTTTGCCGAGCGAGGAGAGCTGCCGGGAGGGGATCCCCGCGTCCCCTCCCGCAGCGCCGCTCTCTTCCCGCTTCGAGGCCTCGGCGCGGCCCCGCCCGGCGCAGGCAGCGGCGGTGCCTCATCGGGCGCGGGGCCGCCCGCCCTTCTCCCTTCTCCCTCCTCCTCCTCCCCCAGCCAGCGCCGGCTGCTCGGCCGCGGCGGGCGCGCTCCTGCTGGGGAGGGGACGGGAGGGAGGGGCGGAGGCAGGGCGGGAGGCAGGCAGCGCGGCGGCGAGAGAGGCAGGCAGCGCGGCGGCGGCGGCAGATGCTGCGGCGGCGGCCGCGTCTCCTCCGGCCACATCCTGCGCCCGCCTGGCGCGCAGCGCTACGGCGCGGCAGCGCAGCCCGGCTCCAGCCGCAGCCCCACGCCCTCGGGGCGGTGGGTGCCGAGCGCGCCTCGCCCCGGCTGCCGGCCGTCCTGAGCGCTCCGGAGCACACACGCACGGGCGCGCCCGGGGGGGGGGGAAGCCGAAGATGCTGCAGCTGGTGCTGGGCAAGGTCAGGACCTTGCGGTGAAGCCCGGGGCTGGCGCACCCCCCCCCCCACCCCCCCCCCCCGGCCCTTTTCATTCTTGCCCACCGGAGTGAGGATTTGCCTCTGGGGTTTGGTGGATGCTCGGGAGGAAACACGCTGGAGCGGCGCCGATCGGTGAGTACGGCGGGCACCGTCATGGTGCCAGGTCCCCCGCCTCCCTCCCTCCCTTCCTCCCTTCCTCCCTTCGTCTCCAGCTTCTCGGTGCGGGCTCCTGCGCTGCTCCCCTCGGCGAGGCGGCCGGGAGCCGCGTTTGTGCCTGCAGACGGGAGGTAACAAAGTGCCTCGTTTCTTCCTCCCGCCTCTCCTCCTCCCCCCGTGTTTTTCCTCCCTTTTTTCATACGCCGCCTATGTAGGGCACAGCGGCGGCTCCGTGCCGCCCGCCCCGCGCCGATGCTCTCGTTACGGCGGTGAAGTCATGGGCCGGGGCGAGGAGGAGGAAGGCGGTCGGGCCCGTGGCTGCTCTGCGTGTCTGCGCGGCTCTGAGGGGTGTCCTTCCTTTGAAGCTCCCCCCCCCCCCCCCCCAGCAAAATGCTGCGCTCGGGGAGGGGGTGGGGAAGGGGCTGCGGAGTGCTCGCTGATCTATTTTTAATGGCTGAAAGGAAAGATGCTCTTCTTCCCTGTACCCTTCCCTTACTCTATTGCTGGTGTGTAATGTGTTCGCATCGATCGGGCAGCGCGGAGCCGCGGCTGGGTGAGGGCATGCAGAGGAGGTGAAGCAGCACGAGTGGTGATTGTAGCACACCAATACGTCTGGCCAAAGAGATCGGAGAGGAATCAGAAAGCCCCGAACTGAAATCATTTGGGGAACCATGTTAAATCTCCCCTGTAGGGACTGAAGGCATGGATACGTGGAAGATGGGAATAGTGCATCTTGTTGTGCTGAGGCGTTTTCTTTCTCACAGTTTAAGTGTTGGTGTGTGCTTTGTTCTGAGTCAGGGTGTCACAGTTAACCTCCTGTGTTACTGGAAAATAGCCCGAACTTAGAGGAAAATATGTAGGAAGCAATAGGCCTCCAATAAACAGCCAGCTGTTAACTTTATTGGCTGTAGAAGAATATATCATTGCACCTAAAACCACGTTTGCCTCTTTTATTGGTAATAACACGATGAAATAAAAACTTCATGTTGCAGGCTTTTTTTGTGGTCTGCGCGTAAAGTGGAAATCCTGGTAGCCAACTGTTCTGTTTTTTTTGTGGGCTGTGCCACACTCACAGCCGCACCTCTGGGGAGTGGGGGCATACCCAGAGCTGTGCAGGGTTTATGTAAGTCTGCTGTGGGCTTCTGCTCAATCAAGAGAAGAGAAATGATGCGTGTCATCCTGTATCTCAGGATATACTTCTCTTGTCTTGAGCTCAGGAAGTTACCTGGCTGTGCTGGGCTGATGTTGTCCAGGCAGCTCGGTTAGTTGGTCAGTGCAGAAGTGACGTGGTGTGAGGGAGTCAGTGCAGGTCTGTGGGGAGAGCTGTTGTGTGCCCTGAAGTGGGCCTCAGGCCCCACGGTTTTAGAGATCCAGGAGTCATCTGTTTGGCACTGTGGGCATTGGGAGAAACCCCAAACCCAACCACCAGGAAAGAGTGTAGTAATTAAGCAGAACTTGTGCTTTCTGTGGTGATCAAACATCCCTGTAAGACCAGTTCTGTGTGTGAAGCTGCCCCTCTCGTCTGGAAATTCCTTTCCATTTAGGGAGCTGTGATGGAATATCATCAGTCTGCATGCTGCAAACTGCACAGAACTTGCAATAGATCATTTTTATTAGTAAGAAGTTGATTAATGGCTTGGGGATGTGTTGGATGAGACTCTATTGAGAGCTGCAGTACAGAAATGGGAGATTGCATCTTGGTCGTGGTGCTCAGAGATGGTTTTTGCAGCCTGTTATATAAGAGAAGCTTTGAAAAAAGAGAAGTGGGCTGTGCTATGTGTACATACCAAAGGAAATACCTCCGAAAGCTTCTGGTAGGAAGCAAAGTGTTTATTTCTGGATTTCAGTTGCATGAGAGTTTGTGGGTTGTGAGAATGATGCTTTGGGGAGGGAACTCCAGCTACTGTGCTGAGTTCTGCTTGTCAGATCCCTTAGCTGATGCCAAGCAGTGATAAATGGCTCATCAATGGCTCTAGCTTCTGATTTTCACTTTTTTTTTTTTTTTTTTAAATAATGCTCCTAAAATTATTTCATCCTCACATAGTGAACTCTGACAAACAGCTGCACAAAATAGAAATAGTATCAACTAAAAAAAAAAAGCATTTGCATAATTCTTGTTTGCATAATTTATCTTTGCTGACGGATGGTATCGATTTAATGACTGTGATCTGTTGTAATGTGTTTGTTTCTCGAGACGTGTAACATCAACTTATGCTACAAAGGAAGGGATGGAGCAGCTTATTTTGAGTGTTTTAAGAAATCTGTTTTTAAGTAGGGCTGTAGATTGGCGTATAAATTGAGCAGATAACAAAATCAGCAGAACTCACGACTGTTAAATTTTGCACTAAACTTCAGATACATTTTCTATTTCATGGTTCAGTATGATACAATTTTTAGAGCCTATCACTTGTGGCAATTCCTGCATATCTTTGTTAGGATTCCAGACGTACATTTCAAGTATTCCTAGAAGCAACTGTGTTCATGATTACCAGTAAGATAAGGAAAACACATCATTTTGGCACTCTTTACTTAAATAAGAACTTGTGATTTTGATTCTTATTGATTGCACTTGCAAGTCATGAAGTTTGATATTTCCAGTTACAGCTTTATCTGTCAAAAATGAAGTGGATTGTTTTTCTCCTTTTGAAGGTCTCAGTACGATCTTATTACAGAACAAGTTTTGGGTGATTATTTAACTGCACAGTGTTAAATTTAGTAGTATGCTTATATACAACATAAGTAATACATTGCAATGGAGGCAGGATTTTTAAATATAATGCATTTTTTTTTTTTAATGACAGAATGACTCCTGAATAAGACTACAATGCCTTCGCTTTTGAATAAGAGATTGACTTTGTTCACAAAAGTCAGTACATTTACAGAAGCAGTATTTTTTTTTCTGATTTTAAGGGGGAAGACATGGGACAGCTATGCAATATTGGAAATAAGAAAATAGGTTGCCCAAAGAGGTGGTGGATGCCCTGTCCCTGGAGACATTCAAGGTCAGGTTGGGCTGGCCTCTGAGCAGTCAGATCTAGCTGTAGGTATCCATGTTCATTGCAGTAGAGTTGGACCCGATGACTTTTAAGAGTCCCTTCCAACTCAAATTATTCTAATCCTGTGCTCATGAAATGCAGAACCAATGAATTTGGTTTATAGCTGTTCTGTAGTTAGGGTACTTGGAAAGAAGTCTGAATGGAGCAAGACACACTGAAGTGATTTCTTCTGTTCCCTTGGGATGTGCTAATGCGGTATCATGAATGGGCTATAAAAGCAGATTGTCTGACCAGATTCTCTGGCAATATTCTGGTCATTATAAATGTAAAGGAAATATGTTATCTGCTATACGGGCACTGATAGCTATGCTAATAGATTTTTTTTTTTCTCATATGAGATGCTTGTTTATTGTAAAACTAAGAAAGAGGGAAACATCTCATTATCTGTGACAGCAAGCATTTAATGTTTAAGTTGTTCTTGGCATGCTAACTTCTGGTACGTCTTACTAGCTCTTAATCTCCCTGTTCTGCTTTCAAAAATTCAGTTATAGGAATAAGCAGTTACTTCAGGAGACACGAAATATGGAGGAATATGTAGTATCTTGATCAAAAGGGCACTCTATTTTGTTGAAGTTTTTTGGAGAGAAAAAAATAAAAAAGACTTCTAATGAAACTTTGTATTTCTCAAACCTACCAAGAAAACTGCAAACATTTAAAAGCCATATTTGTAATGACAATATTTGGTGTTATACTTGATTTTTTTATTGCTTTAGCCATTTTAGCTGTATAATATAACAAACCATGTTTTTCCACGTGTTTACATTCATTTTGAGAAGGCAGAAATATGCAGAGTTGACACTGAGTGCTAACATAAGAGCATTTGAGAGCCAAAGAAGTTCTACATCAAATGCTCTTTAAGGGAAGATTTTGTTTTTGTTGTTGTTGTTTGTTTGTTTGTTTGTTTTTGTTCTCCATTCTTTTTTTCTCTTTTTGCCAAATTTGCAATTGACTTAATCACTCAAAATGTTAACAGTCAAGAAAACTTCTTTTGGAAACAGATCGTAAAACTTAAATGTTATACTAAGCAGATTATTAGCATAAGAGAATCATAGAATGGCCTGGGTTGAAAAGGACCACAATGATCATCTAGTTTCAACCCCCTGCTATGTGCAGGGTCGCCAATCACCAGACCAGGCTGCCCAGAGCCACATCCAGCCTGGCCTTGAATGCCTCCAGGGATGGGGCATCCACAACCTCCTTGGGCAACCTGTTCCAGTGCGTCACCACCCTCTGTGTGAAAAGCTTCCACCTAATATCTAACCTAAACCTCCCCTGTCTCAGTTTCAAACCATTCTCCCTTGTCCTATCATTATCCACCCTTGTAAACAGCCATTCCCCCTCCTGTTTATACGCTCCCTTCACATACTGGAAGGCCACAATGAAGTCTCCCTGGAGCCTTCTCTAAGCTAAATAAGCCCAGTTCCCTCAACCTTTCTTCATAAATACCTTTCTTCATATATACTCCTCTTTCAGCCACAGGTATGTTTTTCTTTCCTGTCACAGTAAATTATTGTTCAATTAAACATCTCCAAAATATCCCTTTAAGGCTGAATTTTTTTCAATAGAGCCGAATGAAATTAGGCATGTAGCATAAATAAGAATTTTTTTATGAGCTTCTTAATTGTTTTAAACACACTGGATTAGACTTGACCTAAGATAAATTTATATGTAAAAGTTAACTTCTTTTAAATTACTGAAGTGTTTAGGGAAACAATTAGAGGCAAGTTACAATGAGGTGTCTTCTGGCATTCTTCTCTTAATGTTGTACCTCTCTGGGTAGTAAGTAAGTAATTCTTGAACACGCACATTGTCTTCTCTTTCACAGAAAGTAGGTTGTTGTCCCAGTCAAGCTTGCATACTTTGTTAAGCTGAGGGTTTCTAATGAAGTACCCGTGTCCAGGGTAACCTGACCTTCGATTC